CGATTTGACTGAAAATTTATCAGAAGAGATGAAAGAAAAGATAGTGGTCATCGGCGCAATTCGGAAAAAGAGGCGGCTTTTCTACATTATGTATGGATTTTTTCCTTTTCTTTTTTTTACTCTTTGTACAGCAGTTATTGTTCATTCTAAATTAATTTTTTAATGTAGAATATGTGTTATAATGGTGCCCCCCCACGCATAAAAGTGAAACTCCGCCTATGATTGTGCTGTTACTCCTTTTCGAGCAGAAGTTCACAAAATTGGGTGTTATTTATGGGGAGTATAATTATTTATTTATTTCAGTGAATGTAATCGATTAGATATCATAATATTTAGGCTATAATATTATAAATCAGGTTGGTTTGTATTGCTGACGTAATATGTAAATGATATGCGTGTGGCCCGAATGATATGCGTGTGGCCCGCGAGACTTGGACCATAAAGCGGCCCGGTGGAAAAAAAGGTTGAGAACCACTGGTTTATAGTTTGAGACTCATCAATATTAGCAGCTGCTGAAAATCCTCTTTATTTCATGATAATAGACCCTGTTTTCACCTCATTCATTATGCTGATCTCCTGTACATTACCAGTTAAAGTTCAATTCATTCTTATCAGAGACTTAAACTATGCAGTCACTATTGTGATATCTACAAGATACAGATGCCCTAACATCATTTATTTCATTAGTGTGTGTTAAACTGTTTAATGAAAACCAAAACAAAAGTAAAAACTAATGAACAAAACTTTAAACTCAAATGGAAGGAATTATGCAAACACTGATTTTTGTTGGTTACATAACTGTACTTCTGTTTATTCTTTTGATTTTATTCTTAACATTTGTAATATTTGCAAATATTAAATGTAAAAATCTAACAGACAAACAGAAATGCATGTGTGAATTTGTAGTCCGATATTTTACTGTAAATAGCAGGTAAATGTAAATGCTTATGTTAATTGTGAAAACCAAACTCAAACTTTTGCAGATCTGCTCCTCCTTCAGTGAAGCTCCTCCCACAACAAGCACACCTTCAGCGAAGCTCCTCCCACAACAAGCACACCTTCAGCGAAGCTCCTCCCACAACAAGCACACCTTTAGTGAAGCTCCTCCCACAACAAGCTCACCTTCAGCAAAGCTCCTCCCACAACAAGCACACCTTCAGTGAAGCTCCTCCCACAACAAGCACACCTTCAGTGAAGCTCCTCGCACTGCAGTTCAGCAATAAATGCTGCAATATTCCCATCAGTCTACAAGTGAAGACGAGCGTCAAAGCATCAGGAAGAAGAGAAATCTGCAGAGACAGAGTTTATTGAAGGACAGAGAGAACATGAGCGATCCAGAACCCTGCAGAATGAAACACACTGAAGAACAAACAGGTTGGTGTTTATTCTTGATCCTTCATCAGTGAGGCTAAAGAACAATTAAAGTTATCAGCAGTTCATCAGATTTGGTGTTTATAGTAGAAAAATACTTTGAGTTTAACATTTTTTTTAAAAAGATAAAAAAATATTTTTTTTCTATCTCCAGGGTACAAAATAGGGACTGAAACTCAATATTAAAAAAGAGAATATTGAAGTAAATATAAAGATGTCAAAATCTGAAGGGAAAAGTATAGTTTGGAAAGAAGCCGTGAGATAATAGAATAGTTTTCACTACAGAAATATTGGATTAGTGTCTGTATTTTTTAATATAGATTATTGTATCTTATTTTGTAAAAATTTAACAAAATGATTATAATTTGGTGTAGCTGTTGTCTGCTTTCTACGGTGGCCGAGAGAGCTCAGTGTGCTGCAAATAGAAAAATTAAGAAAACAACTTTATCAATTTGACAACACACACACTGCAAATGCTCACAACCCAACCAAAGAAAGAAAATAAAATTGCAAATAAAATTCTTTATTTGGTTGTGTTGTGAGCATTCGCAGCACCTGCCACAACCCAACCAAAGAAAGAAAATAAAATTGCAAATAAAATTCTTTATTTGGTTGTGTTGTGAGCATTCGCAGCACCTGCTGTCAAACTGATGAATGTTTTTTCAGTCAAAGTCAAAGTCTGCTTTATTGTCAATTCTTCCACATGTACAGCACATACACACAGAGAATTGAAATTGTGTTACTCTCAGACCCTTGGTGCATACAGATAACACTAACAGTAGAATCTAAAATATAGATACTGTAAATACAGATTAAATATAAAATACAAATAAGGACATGGAAAAAAAGATAAATAAAGCAGCACATGGCAGATAGAGTGCAAACCAGTGAAGTAAACAAACAGTGCAGATATAATGATTGTAGTGCAAAAGAGCTTACTCGGTCTGATTGAAGTGACAAAAAGCTCAGAGAGCAGTTCTTTATTTAAACTGTCAGAAGAGGTAGTTGAATGAGGTCAGTTCAATGCTGAATGAGGTAGTGAGCAGACCAATGCTGCACAAAGTGACTGGTGCTGGTCACAGTGTGTTAGTGGGAGGGGGGAGTGGAAGGACCTGGGCATGTGGGAGCTGGGGGGGTCTGAGGGTCAGAGTTCAGTGGTGCAAGGGGGGGGCAAGGTCGGGAGGGAGTTCAGTTTCCTGACTGCCTGATGGATGAAGCTGTCCTTCAGTCTGCTGGTCCTGGCCTGGAGACTCCGCAGTCTCCTCCCTGATGACAGCAGACTGAAGAAGCTGTGTGTCGGGGGGGCGGGATCACCTGCAATGCAGAGGGCTTTGTGGGTGAGACGGGTTCCATAAATGTCCTGGAGGAAGGAGAGAGAGACACCAACAACCTTCTCAGCTGCTCTCACTATGCGTTAAAGGGTCTTGCTGCAGGACGCGTTTGCAAGCGCCATACCACACAGTGATGCAGCTCGTCAGAATGCTCTCAATGGTGCCTCTATAGAAGGTGCACATGATGGGGGCTGGGGCTCTGGCTCTTCTAACTTTGCGGAGGAAGTAGAGATGCTGCTGTGCTTTCTTGGCCAGTGCTGCAGTGTTGTCAGTCCAGGAGAGGTCCTCTGTGATGTGCACACCCAGAAACTTGGTGCTGCTCACTCTCTCCACAGTCGCACCATTGACGGTCAGAGGAGCATGCTGAGTGCGCACTTTCCTGACGTCAACAACAATCTCCTTCATCTTCGCCACATTCAGAGAGAGATTCTTGTCACTGCACCACCTGGCCAGGCGGCTCACCTCGCTCCTGTAGTTTGTCTCATCTCTGTTGCTAATGAGACCCACCATAGTCGTGTCATCCGCAAACTTACTGAAGAGGTTGGAGTTGTGTGAAGGTGTGCAGTCGTGGGTCAGCAGAGTGAAGAGGAGGGGGCTCAGCACACATCCTTGGGGGGGCCCCAGTGTGATGGTGCTGGATGTGTTGCTGCCGACCCGTACTGCCTGAGGTCTTCCAGTCAGGAAGTCCAACAGCCAGTTGCACAGCGAAGTGTTGAGCCCCAGCTGGACCAGTTTGTGAATGAGCTGTTGAGGGATGATTGTGTTGAATGCTGAACTGAAGTCTATGAACAGCATTCTGACGTATGAGTCTTTTTTGTCCAGGTGTGTGAGTGCTGAGTGGAGGGTAGTGGCGATGGCGTCATCGGTCGAGCGTTTGGACCGATATGCAAACTGGAAGGGATCCAGGGAGGGAGGGGGAGGCAGACTTGATGTGCAGACATGACTAGCCGTTCAAAGCACTTCATGAGAATAGGAGTAAGTGCAACTGTACGGTAGTCATTGAAGCAGGATGGAGACGGCTTCTTAGGGACTGGAATGATGGTGGTAGCTTTGAAGCATGTGGGGACAACAGCCTGACTTAGCGAGATGTTGAAAATGTCTGTGAAGACATCAGTGAGTTCCACTGCACAGTCTCTCAGTACACACCCAGGAATGTTGTCAGGACGGTGGTAGCTGAAGCATGTGGGGACAACAGCCTGTCACTTAGCGAGATGTTGAAAATGTCTGTGAAGACATCAGTGAGTTCCACTGCACAGTCTCAGTACATGCCCAGGAATGTTGTCAGGACCCGGAGCTTTGTGTGCGTTGATCCTGCTGAGGGATCTCCTCATGCTCTCCGGGCAGCGTCATCACCTGGTCGCTGGGAGGAGGTGGAGTCTTCTGTGCCGTGGTGCTGTTTTGTGCCTCAAAACGAGCGAAGAAGGCGTTCAGCTCGTTCAGCAGGGAGATGGTGCTGTCACAGGTCCGTGGTGGGGGCTTGTAGTCCGTAATGGTCTTTATCCACTGCCACAGGCTCAGAGTCTCTCTGCTGTCGCTGAAACAATGGGCTATCCTCCTGGAGTATTGTCTCTTAGCCTCTCTGATGCCGCGGGATAGATTGGCCCTAGCTGCAGTATGGCTGTATATTCCCTCGGTAGATAGAATGGCCGGCACGTAATAATCATAAACTCAACCAGGGAAGAGCAGTTTTTGCAGACCACAACAGCATCGCGGCACCACGCATCATTGATGTAAACACAAAGCCCGCCGCCATGGGTCTTACCTCCTTTGACGAGAACTCTGTCCGCTCGATAGCATGTTAGCTGGTCGAGATGAGTAGCGCAGTCCGGTACGCTGTTGCTGAGCCATGTTTCCGTGAACACAAAAACACAACAGTCTCTTACAGTCCTCTGAGTTGCGCGTAGTAGTTGGATGTAGTCCAGTTTATTGTCCAAAGAGCATACGTTAGCCAGTACGATGGTGGGGATAGCTTGCTTGTGTGGGTTAGCCGTTAGCCTAGCCCGGATACCTCTGCGCTTACCCCTCTTCTGCTTCCTCTCACGCCGCTTGTGGCGCCTCCGCTGTGAGCGAGATGCAGTAGTGGGGGTCGGTGATGGTGTAGGTCTCCGGAGCAGACCGAGATCCCACAGCTCTTCGGCGTGTGCAGAGTTTAACTCTAAAAATGTGGTTCTGCTGACATTGAGCAGAAACTCACGACTGTATGCGCGCTTAAAGATAGGTAGACGCGACGAAGACTTACAAAAACACTGCGACTAACAAGACAAAAAACACGAAAACACCATTCTGACGGGAGAGAGAAGCCGTAGCGTGTGCATGCGCCACCATCTTGTTTTGTTTTTATTTATTGGTAATTTTTCTATTTGCATGTGTTTTTTGAAGTTGCAACACGTTGAGCTCTCTCTCGGCCACCGTAGCTATCACTTTACATTTCTCACATTTTTTAATGATTTAATTATATTGTAACCTTTTTTTAACTTTAATTTCAGATCTAATGGAGGAGAAAAAACATCATGTCAAAACTGGAGGAAAAACTCACTCACAGACTGAAAGTATTTCTTTACTGAAAAGAAGAGACAAGAAAAGGTTCACCTGCACTCAGTGTGGAAAGAGTTTCACATGCAAACCGAGTCTCAAGAGACACATGAGGATCCACACTGGAGAGAAACCATTCACATGTAATCAGTGTGAGAAGAGTTTCACACAATCATCAACCCTTAAGAGACACATGAACATCCACACTGGAGAGAAACTGTATGAATGTTATCAATGTGGAAAAACATTTTTGTGGGCTTTAAGCCTGAATAAACACCTGAAAGTTCATTCAAAGGAGAAACCACATTCATGTTCTTTCTGTGGAAAGAGTTTTTCAGAACTGCAGAGTTTAAAAGTTCATGAGAAGATACACACTGGTCTGAGAGATCATGTGTGTTTTGAGTGTGAGAAGACTTTTATTACAACTGATCAATTGAAACTGCACCAGAGGATCCACACTGGAGAGAAACCTTACACGTGTTCACACTGCGACAAGAGATTCAGTCGGTCAGCAAACCTGAAAACACACGAGAGGATTCACACTAGAGAGAAACCGTATCACTGCGCTTGAGGAAAATATGCAATTGTCTTCTTGCAAGTTTGCCTTTTTCTTTATATGTAATACCTTTGTATTATACCCGCATATATTGTAATCGTTTTTATTAGAAAAAAGGTGTATTAAGAAAGACACCACACGTTATATTATAATTGTTTTAAAGCATTTGAGCAAATATTTATAGCATATATTAGCAAAAGTAAATCTAGAAATGAAACCTGTATTAGTAGGAGCTTTGCTAAAGAAAAATTAAGAAAAAAATTAATAAATGGTGATTGGAATTACCTAAGGCGCAAACTTACAAAGAACATTAAAAGTAGTCTTCCGGATGGCTCTGATTGATGCTGCGTGCGTGTACACGAGAGATGGTGGTAAATGCATATCGCAGGTCAGCAAACCTGAAAACACACGAGAGGATTCACACTAGAGAGAAACCGTATCACTGCGCTTGAGGAAAATATGCAATTGTCTTCTTGCAAGTTTGCCTTTTTCTTTATATCTAATACCTTTGTATTATACCCGCATATATTGTAATCGTTTTTATTAGAAAAAAGGTGTATTAAGAAAGACACCACACGTTATATTATAATTGTTTTAAAGCATTTGAGCAAATATTTATAGCATATATTAGCAAAAGTAAATCTAGAAATGAAACCTGTATTAGTAGGAGCTTTGCTAAAGAAAAATGAAGAAAAAAATTAATAAATGGTGATTGGAATTACCTAAGGCGCAAACTTACAAAGAACATTAAAAGTAGTCTTCCGGATGGCTCTGATTGATGCTGCGTGCGTGTACACGAGAGATGGTGGTAAATGCATATCGCAGTCTGGATGCAATTAACTCAGCGGAAAGGTTGGGATAGTACGAATAAATTATCGATGACATCAGTCTTATGTTTGGTTAAACTGAAGCAAGACAAACAGTGTCACTTACATACTTCTCATGTTTTGTCACCAAGATGTCCGGGGAGGTTTTTAATGGACATTTCACTTGCATTGCTGGGTTTGTCTGTATATTTCATGTTTATTGTACAGCACTTTTCACAATACATTTTTGTATGTATTTCACTGCAGCTTTACAGAACATGCATGTATATTGCAATGCTAAATGAATGCTAGGATACTAACCAATACATGCCATTATTACTGATTTCATTCGTTTTAAAATGTGTGCTTAGTTTGGACAAGTTTGTTGCTGTGGAACAGTGTGAGAATGCATTTGAATGTTCTATCTGAGCCATCATGTGGCCACAAATAAACAAGATGAATGCAATTCAATGCTGGCTACCGTGTTTTGCAAAAACCTGTCTTATTATTTTTTTAAGATAAAAGTATAGCCTACATGCAGATTAATAAATGCACACACACTACATACAGTATATATGTGGGTATGTATGTTTATGCACATTTACTGTAAACGCTCATACACATACAGAAGTACTGGTCAAAAGTGTGGGCACTATTAATATTTTTAATGATTTTGAAAGAATTCTCCTATGCTCATCAAGCCTGCATTTAATTGATCAAAAATACAGACAAAAACTAATATTTTGCAATATTAATACAATTTAAAATAATGGTTTCTTATTTTAACCCATTTAATCCCACCACTCACAATAATGTCTGTAAAAAAAGGTTTTAATTTATAAAGCTCTAAAAAACTTACTGACTGATGTTTTGGTGTACTTCCTGCAAATATGGAAAAAAATAAATGGTCTCAATTAAATATGAGTGTCACATGATTAGTGCAAATTGTCACATGATCAAAGCAGTTTAATTCCTGTTTGCACCTTGAGAAGATGATGACTGCATCAAAGCTCCAAAGTGAAAGGCTAGTAAAGAATGTTAACATAAAGATATGACAAAGACGTTTGGTACACATTATCTTTAGGGTGTCTAGTATTAATATGTCCAGACATTTGACCAGTACTGCATATAAAAAAAAGACATCCTCTCGCTTTCAACTGTTTCCAGCAAAAGTATTAATATGTGATCAATATCAAAAGCAGCAGGCTGGCCATGAGCAGCTTTACTACATTGCATTTCATCCTCAGGATTTCAAACACATCTGGGTGTTCATATGGTCACATGTGGTTTGGCACCGAGCGACAACATCATTCTGCTCCTACCAAACTGCTTTGTGTGTGACGAGTCTAGCGTGCTCTCGGGAGCATTTTGTGTTGGCGGACAGCACATCAGTGGTGGTCGTTCCTGTGTCGAGTGGGTTGCGCACTTCAGGCTTGCTGCAAGCGGCCAGGCGTTGCCTCCGTTGCCTCTGCCACTATCCAGTGTTCGTCCTGGCGGTAGCCAGGCATGGACTACTTTGGGCAGTAGCACGGGCGGTCTGAGGGTTACAGTGGTGGCAAACCCCTCAGGGAACCAACCCCTCTGGGAACCAACCCTCAGGGGACTATCGCTCCTCTAGCGCTTTGCAACCAGTTGAGCCGCTAAAGGAATGCGCTGGGCCCTCTTCAAAGAGCGTACCAGCGGTATCCTTCGGTGCTTCTCCCGATGACTAGATGTTGATCACTACATCAGAGGGAGAGCTCTCTGTAGAGGAAGATTCGGCTGCACTGCCGCCCTCTGGGATGGTGGCAAGGCCTGAATCGGATCCAGAGATGTCGGCTTCCTGCTTTCCCAGGCCGCCGAGAGGGGAGGGCTTGAGCGGAAACCTCCACCGCGTCCTGGGCCCTCGAGGTCGGACGATTGGTTTCTCTGGGTGGCTCGCGCTGGTTCTCAGCACCCCGCTTCGGTGCCTTTCTTCCCGGAGGTGCATGAGGAGCTCACCTGGTCATGGACGGTACCTTTTACTGCTGGAAACCGACCTGCTGGTTCTTCCTCCCTCACCACCCTTGACGGTGGTGCAGCTAAGGGGTATACAGGGGTCCCCCCGGTGGAGTGGTCGGTTGCGATGCAGTTGTGTCCTAATACCGCCTCCCGGGTCTGTAGGTACTCGTCTGGCCTGTCCGGCGATGCTCCGCCTTACACGCTATGGCGTAACTGCAGGTTCATCAGGCCAAGGCACTGAGGGACCTGCACAAGGGTGGTCATGACCTGGAAGTTCTGAAAGAGCTCTGAACCGCTACCGACCTCACGCTCCGAGCGACGAAGGTCACCGCAAGTTCTCTGGGTCGTGCGATGTCCACACTTGTGGTCCAGGCAGACAAAGTTCAGTTCCTTAATGCCCCTGTGTCCCAGACCGGCCTCTTCAGCAACGTAGTCGAGAGCTTGGCCCAGCAACTCTCGTCTGCACAGAAGCAGAGTGAGGCGGTTCGTCACACCCTCTCCCGGCGGGCAGCTGCGGCCGGCAGACGGGTGGAGGCAGCAGCTGCCTGCCAGCCTGCTCATCGACGAGGGCGGCACCCTGCATCCGCCCCTGCTCCCGCATCCGCAGCAGCCTCCAGCAAGCGGCACCGTGGAGCTGGGCGTAGGCAGGCCGCCCCACCCGACCAGGCCCCCGTCAAACCTGGCAGTGAGCAAAAGAGCAAGAGGCCCCGGGACGGACGACCCAGAGAGGGAGGAAGCTGCTCTTTGGGGGATGATGAAGGCACCTCTCCCTCCTTCAGAGGAGGGCCGGGAGGAGAATCTGGAAAATCTGGACGAGAGAGTGGTTTTCTCTGTCCCTGGGTCCCAGGAGGGCACGGAGAGTCGCGGACGGACCAGCACCGGACCACACTCATCCTCCTCCATCGCCAGCAGGCAGCAGCGGCGGGCGGTTCGAGAGCGTCAACAAAGGCCCTACTCACGTAACCTCTGCCAAACTGTCTAACCAGGTAAGCATTGCACTGCACACTCAGACCCCTCTTCGGTACACTCACAAGCCGCCCGAGTTGGGTCCCTGCATTCCACCTCGCTGCCCCACTGCGGGTACGGCGGTGGTTCCGCTGGTTCCGCTTTACAGCCCTTAATTCATTGCACCCAAGAAAGGCGGTGAGTTATGACCAATCTTTGATCTGCGTGTCTTGAACCGGGCCCTTCGCCGGTTTCCGTTCAAGATGTTGAAACAGAAACGCATCTTCGGGTGCATCTGTCCCCAAGATTGGTTTGCAGCGATCGACCTGAAGGATGCGTACTTTCATGTGTCGATCCTTCCGTGCCACAGACCATTTCTGCGGTTCGCGTTCGAAGGACAAGCATATCAATACAAAGTCCTGCTCTCCAGGCTGTCCCTGTCTTCACGTAAGTTGCGAATGCAGCCCTTGTTCCCCTGAGAGAACAGGGCGTTTGCATTCCCAACTACCTCAACGACTGGCTCATACTAGCTCAGTCTCAGCATCAGTTGTGTGCTCACAGGGACTTGGTGCTTTCGCACCTCA